TTTTAATTTAGAAAAATTAAAGAATTTAATTTTTCTCTAAATTGTGTGTCAAATTTTTAAAAATCAACTATTGTGATAGAGAGTGAGTACTATGATTGTATATTGTAAATTATTTTAAATGATATTTTCCTTGGTCTTTGAACCTATTAAGTTTAAGAAATATTTGCAGATAAATCACAACATACTAGTTGTATATACCATATTGTCATAGAGTTGAGTTTATAGACAGATATATCACAAAAGTCTTGTAAAAAGATGTTAAAGGCCCTATGACTACTATGTTCGTAATTCGGTTTTTTGTACATAATAAATTAAAAAGTTTTCTGTTGTCAATCCCATTGACTTTTGTCAAACCAAATTTAAAATAACATAATGGGAAAGATAAAAAAATATCTTTTTACAATATTTTTAAAAATTTTACTTTTTCTTTATTTTCTCTAAGAAAACGTTTTGTTTTCCGCCAGATCTAGAAAAAAAAACCCTACAAGTTCTTTGTCTTACGCGATGGACCAGCCGTCTTCATCAGCCACACATGTCGATCTTCAGGGGCTGCCGGAAAGACTGTTCGTCACCGCAACTACCCAAAAGAAGTGCATATCAACGCCTATAGCAAACCGGAACTCCTCCGTGTCATCGCCGAAGCTTTGAAGACCACTCCACAGTTAGATACACTTGAAAATTCTTGTTTTGGGAAACTTTTCGCTCTTATACCAGCGGAAGTAAATTTTTCCGGCAAGTTAGTTCTCAATTTCTTGGGCAGACAACTAATCACTCGAAAACCATTCGAGCTTTGGTTTGTATTTGCTGGAAAGCCTCTGAAATTCTCTATTCGTGAATTTTGGCTTCTCACCGACCTTCCTTGTGGTCAATTTCTGGATCAATCAGAAATTAAGGAGATTACCGCCACTAAAGAAGGATGTCAGCCGGTTTGGGATGTCTTATTCGAAAAGGTCTCCAACCCCTCTATCGACGATTGTGTTGCCATGTTATGCGATAAGAGCCAAGAAATAGAGGG